TATTTTATTTTATAGTTTTAAATTGTGAATTATAATTTAATCTCTATTTTTATTTGAAAACTTTATTAAATTCTCTCTTAAATGATATCCTGAATACCTATCTAAATGTAAAAAAAAGATTTAAAAAAAAAAAAAGATTAATTAATTTCAAATATTATTTCTTTTGAGTTTAATACTTTTGAAGTTTATTTCTGATGAAAAAATAATAATTATCTATATAGTTTATTATTTATAATATATTGATAATTATTATTTATCAGTTAAAAATAACATTGAAAATTTATTTTTAATTTACTTTTATTTTAATTTTATTATTTATTTTTTATTTATTTTCAAATTTTGATTCCACAATTATTAAATAAAATTTTTGTATTATATAATTATAGTTTTATTTTTTTATTAATAATTATCAATCTATAGTTTAATAAATAATATTATATATTTTTATAACAAAAATATTTATTACTAATTTTAATTTCTTTTAATAAATAGTTTAAATTATATAAATAAAACTTTTGAGAACACTATCAGAATAATTATTTTTAATTACATATTTTATTATAAAAGAAATTACAATCATTTATTAAATATTATTTTGATATATATTAAAAAATACCCTTTTTAAATAATTACATTAATTTTTTTAATTTTTTTTCACCCATTTCCCACTGCATATTATATATTTATTTATAATTTATCCCCTATTAGATAATAAAAATCAATCAAAAAATATTTATTTTTATTTTTTAAATAATAACATTTTATTTTTTTTTACAAATATTTTTTTTATTTTAAATTTATTAATTCTTTAAAAAATCACACCCATGTTAGGCAAATGTTAAATAAAATGCAAAGTTTTATCATCAAAATTCACTTATTATTTATTTATACTTTAAAGTTCTTTTTTTTTTTTTTTTTTTTTTTTTTCAAAAGTGAAGATAATTAAAAGCAAATGCTTTAAATTAATCAGTAAAATTTTATTTAATGTTTTTTTATAAAGTTTTTAAAGAAAATATTCTAAACTGTTGATATTTGGTAAAGATTTGATGCTGATGAAGTATGCTCTTGCTATTCTTCTTTTGAATTTTCTATATTCTTCATTGATGTTGCTCATTGTTTGTGGTTGTTTAGCGTGTCTTTCCTTGATGTTTTTTAAACCTTTTAAGTATTCTAAAGTAGCTAGCTTAGTCCATTTTGAGGTTAGATTCTTATAATCGAGTTCTTTTATTGTATTTTCTTGATCGTCATATAATTCTTTACATATCCAAATCCAAACTTGATGAAATACCAGGGCTATGGCATTTCTATAAGCGAAACATCTAGTTAAGTCGAAATCTATTGCTTTATAGTTCCATTGGAAGTGTGATTTGTGAAATCTGGTGTTGTTGTAATCCATATTTATTTCTCCATCGGATTTGCGACCTTCTGGGATTTTATATCACCTGAAAGATAAATCCTTAAAAAAAGATCCGGCTTGCCAGACTCGAACTAGCAACCGATTGATAACAGATATTTACTACAGTCAATCGCGCTACCATTGCGCCAAAGCCGGATTACATGTATTGTAATATAACTGTTTTTATATTTAAAAACCCTGAAATAATGAATTAATTACTAAACAAAATGTAATTAATTATAAACTAAATGTAATTAATTATAATAATAATAAAACACAAAATAAAGATAAAATAAAATATAATAAAACAAAAATAAATATATAAAAATATTTAAAAAATTATATTTTAAAAAATAACTAATCTTTATTAAAACTAAAAAATTACTAATTATTATTATTTATAAACTCTATAACTAAACTATATTTCTCTCTATTATTCTCTGACTAAAAATTATTTTTTGAATTTTAATTTATACTGAAAAATATTATTTTTAAAAAATTAAAATTAATTTAAAAAAATATTTAATTTTAAAAATGTGTTAACATTTGATGATTATTATAAAATAATAGATGTGTGATTATTTAAATTAAAAATGTGTCTAAATTTGTTGATAATTATAAAATAATATGTCTTTTTCTAATAAATGTGATATATGTTTATGATTATTATAATAAATTTGAATTGATTTTAGAATTGTTGTTATATCACAATTACAAAAAATAAAGTACCCTATGGACAACAAATAAGCCAGATATGATCAAATTTAAACCAATTGTTAAAGCAAATGTATTAAGATTTATATAAATAGTTGCCCGAGATTGAAAGACTCTGAAAGAATTTGAGTTTCTGCAACTTATGATAGCTATTGATATTAATTTTGAAATTATTATGTACTGTATTATTATTATTGAGCAATAGTTCGTGATTGGATTGGTATTTATTATTATTACTTGTAAATAGTATAAAATCTATTATAATAGGTTCGCTGTGCATTTGGTAAACATTGGCTAAATCTTTATATTATTGATCAAAATCCTTTCATTCATGATATCGACGACAACAGATCCTGTTGGGGTATTGAATGGTTTTAATTGGTAAATCTGCTTTTTTGAATATTAATTAATAAAGTCAATTTAGTTTATGTTAGTGATTCTGCGTCTATTTTCAATATTTCTTAAACGATGCCAATTTCTATATGTATATTGGTTTGTTGTTGTTGTTGTTGTTTTAAAATAATGTATTAATTTACTTACTTGTTCTCGAAAGGTTTTAAACATATAATCAGTAATGTTAAAATTATTATTATTTATTGGATGTTCTATATTTTACATTATTAAAATGATTTATATTTTTGTTTGTTGTGTTTTGAAAAAAATAAATAATAAAAATAAAAAAAATAAAAATAAAAAATTTTAAAAATGGATTTTTAAAAAAGCCATTTATTTTTTTATTTAAAAAAAAAAAATTATACCAAAATATTATATCTGAAATATCTTTTTTTAATTATTTTATTAAAATCCATTAAAAAGAAAGGTACGTTATATTCCCATGGTATAATTATTTTTTAAAAAAATTAAAACAGCACTTTTCCCTTATTTTAATTTTTTTTTTTTTTTTTTTTTTTTTTTTATTAATTTTTTAATAAATTTTTTTTTGATTTACCAATAGGTTGTAAAAGTATATCTAGATAAGCAATAACTCTATTCCAAAATAAGCAATAACTCTATTCCAAAAATTGTAACAGTACTACCAACCCTAGGCCTTACCAAATCACAATTATCAGACATTATTGTGGGTAATGCATGTTTCCTCATTTTAATTCTCGTCATTTTTTTCTTTATCGTTTATAAATCACAAAGTATTTAGAAATCAAAATCATAAAAATTAATTATTTATTTAATTAAAACTATTACAGTAAATCAATATTTTTTTTTTTTTAATTAATTGATCTCCAACTTAAAAGATTTTGAAATTTTCAGACATTTTTTTTTTTTTTTTTTTTAATTTTTTTTAATTTTATTTTAAAATTTTATTTTTTTTTTTTTTTAAATTATTAATAACTTCCTTCATTCCAAAAAAATATAATCACGATATTTTTATAAAGTTTTATTTTAAGAGAGCATGCTCTCTTTTGGTGGCAATATGGTTCTTAAAGATTTTTTTTTTTAAATGGCTTTTATTTTTATATTTATAAATTATACACATATAAATAATTAACTATACAAATAAAATGAAAAATAAAATAAAAGTTTTTATTTTTATTTTCATTTTGTTAAATTTAATAAATTCACAATTAACACCAGAATCACCAACATTAACAGTTAAAGAATTATTATATGTGAATGGCAGCAACACATTTTTTGTATATCCAACAGTTTCAAATTCGCAGTTGTGCTTAGTTTATATTCCTTTTCAAATTGTATCTACCCAATACCAATTAAGTAATATATTAATCAGTCCATCTAATTCATCTGAAACCAATTATATATCGGATGATGGTAGAGAAAGATCGATAACCTACACAAATAATCATCCACCAGGTGTATTCAATTCAACTTTATCAGTAACTGAAAATGGTATTTCTTATACATTTGCATTTAGTGTTCATTGTTTGGGTATGTAATTTATTTGATAAACTAACTCTTTTATTAATACTAATTGTTTTTATAATTCAAAATGTATATAGAGGTTAATTATAATAATTTAAAATATCAGGTTATAAATACTGGTATTTATTATTATTCATTGGCATTCACTGTAAAGTTTGATTTGTTCGATCCAAGTTATAATGTAACATTAAGGTTTGAGGGAAACACAGCCCAGTATTATATGGGAAATAATCAATACTTTGTCTCTTTTCTAATCAACAATCCAACATTTTTTACTCCGGATAGTAATGGAAATATAGTTGTAAGGTTTAAAACTCCAGATAGCTATTATTCAATATCATTAAAATCACCATTTAAAAGTATTTATTGTTATTACATATTATATAAATGATCATATTAGTTTATTAATTAATATTTATTTTATGTTTAGGTTCAAATGATCATGCAAAGTTAAAACCATATATGTCTTTTAGCTCAATACCAAGCTTAATGGAGTTAAGTGATTATACTACAACCAATAATTATTTTTATACAAATACATCACTCATTTCTAAATCTTATCCAGAACCATATTTGATATCATCTCAAAATGGTAGCTTTACATATTTAAACGTATTATCAGTAGACCCACTTCAAACAGCAACATTCAATCTTTTTTATTATAGTTTGACCAATCTTCTATTTAATGTCTTTTCTTATACAGCAGATAAAACAGGTAATTTATAATATTACTAGTTATAAATATAAAATCATTTTAAAAGGAAGGTTTTTTATTAATTTAAAAAAAATTAAAATAGCTTTATCATTTATAGACCCAAATTTAACTCTCGATCAAATAGCAGATGGATATACAGAAATTTTATTTTCATTTAGTTCTATTGAATATCCATACATGATTCAGATAGGAAGTCCACTAGTATCATTTAGATACCCATTTGGTGTTACACAGTCAAGTGGTACAAATCCCAGTTTTTCATTTCCAATTATTAATCAAGGATCTAGAAAGGTTGCATTATTCCTCTCACTTTTTGTTAATAATGGAGCAGATAAAAATTTAAAATTTGAACCTACTGGTAACTATTTAAACGTACTATTTCTAAACTTTTTTATATTATGTTATACTAATTTAAATTACTTACAATTAATAAATTATTACATGTAGACTTATCACCAATAACAAGTTACTGCGAAATAAGTGATTATTCAATTGAGTTTATACCAAATGGTAACATGGTACTGTCATTCATTTTAAAAAATCCAATTAATTTTCAAAGCCTTGAAATTTGGAATTCTGTTAGTTCTGTTTATCAAGTATTTACACGAATAGAGTTACAACCAAGTTATTTAAGTAATCCAAATGCAGATTCTTTTAGTATTATTATTCCCAGAATTAGTATTTATAAATTAGTAATTAGAACTATAGAAGAGGTACCAAAATCTTATATTCTATATTCAAACTATAATTATAAATATAAGGTTGGAAGTGAAATTAAATCATTAGATACTGTGGAAAAATTGGATTCTATTCAACTATCAAGTATGTACTATTAAATAAATGCAAATATATAAAACTATTCGATTCGATTATTAATTTAATTTTTAGATTTTAATTATGAAACAGGTTTAAAGAATATAAGATTCTATCACAATGATTTAAAAGTAACAAATAATAGAGTATCAAATAAAATGTATATTACACTGGAGAACTATCCAATTGGCAAAGAAATTAAAGTAACTTTCATATATTCTGATTATAGAGCAAATGAAAAGAAGGATACTGTTTATTCAACATATAATGCAACTTCAAAACAGTTTGAATTTGAATTTATTGTTCCAAAGAACATTAAAACTGGTGATGTTAGTTATACAATTTCATTAGATTCTTTGGGAAGTTATAGTTACCACAGTTTTGCATTATCTTCTGCATATCAGTTAAGAGTTGCTGAATCAAAAAGTAAGTTTATACACCTATTTATTTACAAAATAAAATAAATATATTAATTGATTTTTCATTTTAATTTTAGATATTGATTTTATTGGGCCATTGGTTTCAGATTTAAAGATATTAAAATCACCAAATGAAAATAAAATATTGTATGTGTTAGAAATTACAGATAGTTCAAATGGTTTTAAACAAGGATATCTTTTAGTTCGTGGTACAATTGATATTGCCGAAAGAAATATTACAATAAATCCATCCAATTTGTATGCTGGTAATATATTTAAAGGTGGTTATTTTGTAGAGCTTCCTTTTGACAGTCCATGCAACTCTCAATTATTTGAAATTGTATATGCATATTTTGAAGATACTGAAGGTTACTCAACTGAATACGATGTTTTAAAATCAAATATAAAGAATCCATTTTATTTATTAGACCAAGTTAGTCTTAAAATTGGCTCGATTTGTGATGGTACAACATCAAATAATGGTAAAAATTTTCCTGCACAGCTTGTTTATTTATCAAAACTTCCAAATTTGACATTCTCAGCAAAAGAAGAATCAAGAACCCTTTTATTTAATTATACAACATCTCATCAGAATGGAATTTCTTCCTATTATTTACCAAAGGTTTATTTAGCAAACACAAAAAATCGATATTTATCATCTACTGAAACTGTTATTTTGAATTCCAATTTAACACATACGACCTTCTCATCGAAAATAGTACTTCCTTTATTATTTGAACCAAATTCCAGAGTATCCATCTATGGAGTATTATCAAGAAGTGGTGTAACTGCAGGCTTCACACCAAAATCAATCGATGATAAAGGTTTCATTAGTGTAATTAATTTTCAAGTTAATCCACAACCAGTAATAACCGGTTCTTCAAAACTATCAAGTACAGGTTTGGGTGGTCTTTGGATCTATGGTTCATCTTTGGATTTAGCAACAATTATACAGATTCAATATACCGATGAAGTAAATGGTATATTCAAATCAATTAGTCCAACATCAAATAAACCAACAGCTATATATTTCGAAAAAATCAAACCAACCACTAAACCAATTAATATTATTGTTGGTATAGATAGTTCTACATTGGGTGATCCATACACAATTAACCCAATAGTCTTTGACTATATGGAGCAGGCCAATACCAATACATCATTATGTAGGGGTACACCTTTGTGTGGAGGTCCAGACCAAGGTGAATGTCTTTCAACAGGCTGTAAATGTATATCTCCATGGACTAGCGATGATTGTATGTCTAGAGTTATTCAAGTACCACCACCAAATGCAAATGAAACCACACCATCAACTAATATTACAATCGGTGAAGAAACAACATTTACAAGTATAGTATCAATAGTTGGTATAAAAGAATTGGATATCGAATCAAAAGAAGTAAACAGATATATTTTTGATCAATGGGAATATAGAGAAATATTTAATGATTCATACATTTCAAGATACAGCTATTCATCAAGTATCAAAAAAGATAGTGAACAAGTATCCAATATCACTGTAACATTAGATTGGTATAAGGTGGAATCAAATATTCATTTTGCTGATGAAGAAATTCATATAATGCCATCAACTATTAAATATACGATCAAAATTACAAGCTATCCATTTTCAACGAAACTAAATACATTACAATTAATAATGAAAGCATCTATTCAAACTAACAGTAAAAATTCTTGTTCAAATAAAAAGTTTGGTGAATCTATAAGAGATAATTCAGATTATATAAAGCTTCAAGTCGATAATCATTCATTCTATGGCAGATTCGTCAAAAGATGTATCATTGATGACACAAAAATTTCAACATTAACAAATACAATTTTAGATTCATCAATGAATGATACCTTATCAAATGATCATCAAACATCTCAATCCTACATTGGTATCAATATTAATCAATTTACCGATAATGTAGTAATTGATCCAGATTTCAGTATATTATTAGATTCAAACTCTGTAGGTTCAAGTTGTAGAGATAACTCAGGCCTTACCAAATCACAATTAGCAGGTATTATTGTAGGTGGTGCATGTTTCCTTATTGTAATTCTCGTCATTATTTTCTTTATCATTTATAAATCCCCACGTTGTTTAGGAACCAAAATATTTTTTTATAAATTATTTAAAAAATCGAAAATGTAATTAAAAATAAATAAAATTTAAATATTTTTTCATGAATTTAAATATAGATAATATTAACAATAACAATAATAAAAAGAGATTTTCAGAACAAAAAAATAAGGTGTTAGAAAAAAACAAAGTAGATAATAATCAATTAAAAAAAATTATAATTAATTCATCCCATTTTAAAAATATAATTTTTATTAATTTTAAGTTAATATTAAAATTAAATTTATTTTAATATTTTACTTTATTAACATTTATAATCATTTTAAATTCATATGATTTTGACCTTAATTTGATTTTTTTTTTTTATTTTAATTTATTAAATTTTTTTTATAGTAATTGCTTGATTAGTTAAACAATTTTTTTTTTATTTTATTTTTATTTTAAGCAGACAGGTTGTATTTTTTATTAATTAATTACAATAATGGTCTATTGAAAAAATTAAAAAAATAAATTTGGTTTTGTTTAAAACACTGTTCTTAAAAATTAAAAATTAAAACACTGTTTTTAAAAATTAAAAATTAAAATTTTATTTTTTTTTTTTTTTTTTAATTTTTATTTGATTTTCATAGCTTATTTCATTCACCACGTCTGTTAAAAAAACTAATATTAATTATCTTTTATTTTTTTTTTTAATAAATTATAATTTTTTTATTTTATTTTTTTTTAATAAATTTTTTTTTTCTCTTCACTCACACTCATTGCATTTTATAAATATTTTATATTCATATTATATATATTTACATTTGGTAATTATTTTTTTATTTTTTTTTTATTAAATATTATATAATCTTATTTTTTTTTTTTGTAAATAAATCTAATTTTTTTATTTGTATATTTTTTCTTATAAAAAAAAAAAAAAAAAAGTTAAAATGGCAGAACCACAAGCATCTCCAAAATCACAATCAACACCATACCCAAGTAACTTTGCCCCCGCATACCGTTATAAATCAAATCCACCACCACAACCAAAACCAGCACCAATACTAAAACCAATTCCAATTTCACCAACAATACCAAACTCACCATACCCATACACTTTTGTTCCATCATACAGATATCAAAAAGTTTCAACATCTACACCATTATCAACAACAACCAAATCAGAAACCAGTTCATCTTCAAGTTTTAACTTATCTGGTAATCCAACAGATAAAAAAGAATCAACAACAAATATATTTGGCGGAAAAACCTCACCTTGTTTGGAAACAACCCTATTAACCACCACATCACCATCACCATTTGGGGCACCATCAACCACAACTACACCAGAACCAGGACCAAAATCATCACCAAAACCAGATCCTTTTGGCGCACCAAAAGCCACTACACCAGTACCAGAACTATCAGAACCATCACTAGAACTAGGACCAGAACCATCACCATTTGGCGCACCATCTGTAAATTTAGTTAGTAATTCGACAAGTACCAGTTTTTCAAAAATCATCCTCAAATTTATTTTCCAATCTTTTTACAGAACCACTCTTGGGAACATCCACAGCAGTATCATCACCATTTTGTGCTCCAACAACAACCTCGATTGCCTCATCATTCAATATCCCAACAAATTCCTCAAGTTTGGCAACATCACCATCAACAACTGCATCAATATTTAATGCACCATCAAAAGCCGCTTCTACACCAAGATCGACACTATTCTCAAAACCATTGACAGGTACAAGCTCCCCATCACCATTTGGAGCACCAAAAACCTCAAATACATCAGAACCAGGACCAGAAACATCATCTTTTAGCGCACCATCGACTAATACAAAATCTCCATTTGGCGCACCATCAACTTCATCTAAATCATCAACATTTGGCGCACCATCAACTTCAACTACACCATCACCATTTAGTGCACCATCTTCAACTACAAAATCACCATTTGGCGCACCATCAACCACAGCTACACCAGAACCAGGACCAGAATCATCACTATTTTGTGCACCATCAACTTCAGCTACACCAGAATCTCCATTTGGCGCACCATCAACTTCATCTACACCACCAATCGCAGAGACTTCCCATATTATTATCAATTTAAGAGAGGAATTAGAAATATTAAAGCAACAACAAAAGCAACAACAACTTGATTATCATAGTAATGAAGAACAATTTAAATCTCAAATTAATCAATTAAAAGAAGAATTAAAATCAGTAAAAAAAGAAAAAGATCAAACTAAAAATGATAATTATCAGCTTATTAACCAAATTAAACAATTAAATGAACAAAATAAAGAATTAATGGATCAGTTAAAAATATTAAAAGAACAGAATCAACAATCTAATAACGAAGATCAAATTAATAAGCTAAAACATGAAAACAATCAATTAAAAGATCAATTAGAATCATTAAAACAAAAAGATAGAGATAAAGAGGAACTATTAAATCAAATTGAAAAAATATTAAAACAAGATAATTAAGAAATATTAGATCAACTGGACTCTCTTAATAATAATAATCAAAATTAACAACACGACAATGCTGAGCAAACTCCGACCTCAACTCAAACTCCGATTCCTACCCCACAACCAACATAACAATCAACTTCTCGCATAGACTCATCCACTTCTCCAAAATTATTTGCACCATCTAAAGGGGAAAATATTGGAAAACCATCAATTAAAATATTTAATGAAAAACTTGGAGAATTGGTAGATTGTCATAAAACCACCAATCATACTGCTTTCATTTTTAGGCAATTTTATTTTTTTACATATTTCAGAATTATGGAAAAAAATGAAAAAATATGTCTAAAAATTCTCAATATAATTACAGTAGTTCTGTAGTATAATTAGTTTTTTTCAAATAATTTTTATAGTTTTTAAATAATATTCAAATGTATGTGTTTATAATTTATAATATTTAATGTTTTATATAATTTAGTATTAAACTAATAATTTTATTAATAGTAGTAAATATTTAATTCATAGATTAATATACTTTAGTAGATGATATCAACTCTATAAAATCAATTTAGGTAAAGATTCAAAGAGTATGTCAGAGACTACACCAATCAAATCGAAACTATTTGAAGGTTATACATTGCACTGGCCAAGCAACTATAGTAATCATCGAATGGTTTTAGATGAAGAAATGAGATAGTGGTCCCTACTCCGAACCAGTCCTCGAATATTAACTATTAAATCCCATAGATCTTTAAAATAATAATCAATATCATAAATATAAAAAAAGAAAATTAAAAAAAAAAAATAAAAAAATATAAAAAAAAAAATAAAAAAAAAAAAATAATAAGATAACTTAGAACCAAACATCATATATATTAGTAATCATAATAGTCATAATAACCATTGTTCAAATAAATGGTACCTGTATTATAAGAATATCTAATAATAGTGGTCAGCTATCAAATAATGTTAATACCAAAACTTATAGAGAAATATGACTCATTTATCAATAGCTTTTATAGATAAAAAAATTAAAACTATGTTCATCAAATTAAAAACAAATTATAGTGTGACAAAGATCAACTTGATGCATCAATACCTCCAAATTATATTTATGCTGTATCCTACTCTTAAAAAAATAAAATAATAATCTATCAGTTTACCATAATTAAATTTATAATAAATCAATTTTAATTAAATTATTTTAAAATATTCAAACCATCGCGATCAATTAGAATAATCAATAATCAGTTAGAAAACATAACATTATCAATTATAAATCTATCTATAGTTTAAATTTATTTAGATAAACAAAATACCTATTTAATTTTTAAAAAAAAATTCCCTAAACTATTATTTTAATTCCTGATTTATATTTTTTTTCTTTTAATTTTTTATTATACCATTTAAAACTATTTTATTTTATTTTTTTCCATATGGGCATGTTTTGAAATGACCCCTATTTTTTTTTATTTGCAAAAAATATTAAAATAGACTATATATAATCTAAACAGTCCTATATTTTTTAATTTTATGATAATTATTTTTTTATTTTTTTTTATTTAAATATTATTTTCTTAAAACATAATTTTTTTTTTTTTTCATTAAAAATTATAGCATTCAATTTTTATACATAAATCACGAAAATGTCAAATTTATTTGAAGAATTATTTTTTATCAATATAATTATTCAATTTTTAATTATAATTCTCATTTTAATCTTTAAAAGAACCAGAAGTAGAATGTCATATATATCAACAAAAACAAAAATAACAACAACAACAATAACCACAACAACTGGTACAACAAAAACAATAACAATCTCCAGATATAGATTCAGGTATTGAATACGAACACAGATAGTTCTATGAATTCTTTTAGATGCCAATGATCCCATTTTACCAATTTTTTTTATTATGAAAATAAAATTAAAAGAAAAACAAATATAATAAAATAAATAATTTTCTATATTATTTTCAAATAAAATAGTGTTTTATTTATATTAATTTTTAATTTAAATTATTAATAATAATAGCAACATATATTAATAGTAATAATGGAGAACAAATATATTAAGCCTAAGATAAAGACACATTCTATTTCTAAAATTGTTTTATATAATGTTACTAATGTAATAATTTAGTAATTGTATATTATTTTGGTGATGTAATAATTTAGTAATATACAATAACCATTTACTAATAAGATATGTGATTATTCAATGGAGTTTATTAAATGGTAACATGGTACTGTCATTCGTTTAATATTCAATAATCAAACTATAATATTTTAAATTTGGATGTAAAATTAAATTATGTTCGATACTGTGGAAAAATTGGATTCTATTCATCAAGTATGTACTATTATATATATAAATACAAATATAAAGTGATTCAATTCGATTATTAATTTAAATTTTAACTATGAAACGGGTTTAAAGAATATAAAGTAACAAATAATAGGCAATCATTTTATTACACACTAAAGATCTATCCAATTGCTAAATAAATTAAAATAAAATTCATATATTTTTATAATAGAGCAGTCTTTTCTTATTTTAATTATTTATTTTTTTTTTTTTTTTTTAATTTATATTTCATGTTCATCTTTATATTATAAATAATAATAAATAAAATCATATCTTTTATATAATAAATATAATAAAGTGAAATATTTACAAAAAATTATAGATTTGATTTCTTAAAATTAT